ATCAACCGTACTCGGGGTCGAACGGGCACCCTCAAGACTTGAAGTATACCCATATATAAATCCCAAAGTACCCATGAACATTTGATAAAACAGTCACACCCCCATAAACCATATACTTAAAATGTTCGTCATAACGAGAAACATTGCGCAAAACTATCCATTATTTCATAAATTCCTTTAAGTTCGCAATTCCTTTCTAAAGGGGACTTTCCATTTCATACCTAATGTTAAAAATACCTCAGCTGTACTTATTTGTTTGTAATTCTTTCAAAGTATTACCATTGACTATCAATACAACGTATTACGGTATTACCTTACTATTATCAGGTGTAATTATTTGTTTGTATTACTGTATTCTGTTTTGATTTCAGCTTAACGTAACCAATCAATAGTTTTGTTAATGCCTATGAAGTCAAACGGGGTGAAGCCCGTCAACAGCTAGTTATTATAAGAACTGAAACGCATATGAAAACAAACGAGTTCATTGCTTTTATCGCAGACTTCAAGGGAAACTACATAAGGATGACAAATATTGTACTTTTAATCGTAGGTTTCTATCTTGAACAACATTTTTAAACACCCACATATTCTTGTAATAGTGTATATTGCTAGTGTATATTGGATTAGTTAAGTCCAAAATTGAGAACAATGAGTCAACGCGTGAATTTGTTTGAAATTCAGGTCAATTGTTTAGGACGGTGTCAAGCACGTGGAATTATGAAAATTTTGATACAAAGGGCTGGAGAAGCGCCAGCAACAGTGGAATCTCAGGGTCTGCGTTTTGGTGTATTTCTGTCGTACTGCGTGTCTCTTTCTCAAATCTTGATGGAAAGACCACAATTTGTATACTTTAGCTTGGCTATCATCGGGAAAATCCAGTAGAAGAAAGTAGTGCAATGAATAAAACCATAAAACGTAACCAGGAATGTCCTTGAACAATGTCATCTGATTCTACATCGTTCAATCATGAGCCTCAGACGATCTTGTAATGCCAGAGAGTTTAACCCATCTATACATCATATACATAAATGACACACTCTAACCACTAAACCAACTAAGCCTACTGAAGAATAAACTATGGCCAAAAAAATTGAAATTTGAAAGTTGTATGTGGTAGGGTAGTAACTTATTCACTACGCTATATTATTTTAAACATGATCCTCTAAATGCTTTACATTCAGACACAATACTAAGAACCATATTGGTTACTTAGATCACCATACTAAAATATTTTAAGCTTGAGGATCAATAATATATCCATCAATCAATAATCCATTTTGACATCCATACCCAACAATTATATATTCAATACAAATTTATTGACAAAGAGAAAAATATATATTTTCCCACTATCTGGATATCCGTTCTTTAGAATAAGGACTGAGGAACAGTTGAACATAATTTCCGATAATATGTTCTTCAGAATTCTGAGAATTGCATAGATTGACAATCATTCTCTTCCATTTGTCCTTTGTCCAACGTTGATCTCGATCCTGAAAATGTTAACCTTTATTGTTATTTTACCGAACGTCTCAACCACTAGAAACAATACCAAGAAGTAATTTATTTGGTTTAAGTACTTGAAAATAAAACTAAACTATATTTCATGTCTGGCCGAATGGCAGAGTTAATGAATGAACTTGGACTGCATCGTATGCAACTTCTTTCAACAATCGATCCATAATTCTCGTGGCAATGCAGTTAATGCGTTGTTCGCTGCCAAATTGGCATTAATTTTTGTCCTTGCCATTACCAATTCATGTGGCTGCAGAAAAACGCATAGAGGATTTTTAACATGAAGTTTCTAAGGCAAACAGAGATATTTTAATTACAATATTTTACGGATTTGCCAATGAAACTTAGGTATAAAGGAAATTTGCTAAATTATGAATTCGCAAAATTTACCTAAAATCATCCTGGCCAAAGAATTGTTACGCAGCTAAAAAAACCATTGGGATTGGTGAGATTTGAGCCAGCAATCCTCCAGAGCAAACGCTGGAGGCTCTCATTACTGTACCACATTAGACCAGTGGCGTACTGCTACACGCCGTGGATCCAAATATTTCAACGTGGACACTTTTGGACACTATCTTCACATGGTATTGGATTCTACATTTTACGATACATTTTATCAATAAAATGTTGTATAGACAAGTAAGCGTTTAGGCTACATAATTAGACTTCATAAATGAACTTTTATGGCATGGATCGTAATAATAACAGAATAAAAAGTGAAATAATGGATTTTAAATGGACTACTTGTACGATTATTGTGAACTCATTAAGGTGCGTAAATCACTGTTTATGGTGTAAATCTAATATTACCAAACGTAATTTACTTTGAAAGTTAGTAGTTTGATTGCCTAATAACAGTCTTAAACAAACATAATCTTAGTACAGTAAAAGGTAATCGCATTGTTTGTTCTGCTTCTGAAACAAGTATTTAACCCTTTTAACATGTGCAGTTTGCGCACTGGTCCCCTAGTAACAACATATTCGTAAATTATCTATACTGTTAATACTGTATCCATACTGCAATGAAATGGCGACCATACATAGTAGGTATAGGCCTAGTTGCTATTTATATTAACTGATAGGAAAAGCATCACGTGAAAACTCCCCTGAAATACGATACTTTATAAATATTTAGTCGTAATTAGTGCACTGAGGCACCACCATGGAGTCCCTTTAAAATGGCAAGTTGTAAAATATGATGGGAAGTCTACTACTTACACTTGTACTATTTGAAGTGAACGGTACAACTGTGGAAAGGGAGTGAATGTTCTCTTTATAGTTATACTGAAAGATGATAAAAAAACCCTTTTTGTCCGTGTGATGAACTATATTTTTCATCATATTGCAACATTATTAAACAAATTTTGAGTCAGGAAACCAAATACTTTTCATGTGGAATAACCTCTCAAAACGACTTCCAAATTGTTTTGAATTTTGCTAAGAAGTACGCAAGTAGAAACAGCTGTTTTGTAAGTTAGTCAATCATTTCGTCTATTACGATTCTTTTAGTGTAGCCAACATCATACTATGGATATGTCGAACCATACACAAGAATGCAACAATAAGCTACAACCAATTTAATCAATCGATACATAATTTCGATACATGCGATTGTTTACAATATTGAAGTTTACAAAAGCTGACTTTTACTTCCTAGGGACTAAAAAGGTTTTTACTCCCTAGGGAGTAAAGAGCCACTTTATACCCGCAAAGCATTCAAAATTGCGGTTTTTTATTCAGTATAACGAAAAACTCCATGCAGATTAGTAACTTTAAAATGTTCAAATTAAAATAACGTTTTTTATCCTCACCCAAAATTGTCAAATTATAATGCATTGTCGTGGAATTTTAAACTCGTATGCAACCCTTTGTTCAACAAGAAAAATTTACATTGCTAAAAGAGGGCCATTGCTTTATAAATATATGACCTTTAATATTGCTACACCTTTATATATGTGATATAGATTGTGACATACAGTAAGTGAAAAATCAACAAGGTATGATGTATAACATCTCTTTCAGTTCAGAATTTGCGGAGGAAGATGGCTCTCATCTTATAGATTTGGAATAGAATTTTTTAAATATCTACTACGCTGACACGCCAGAATGCGTTTTTAAAGGCAAAGGTCAGCAAATAATTAGCGTTAACTAAATAAAATTATGTGATAGCTTTATTACTGACTGACATCAGCTGATTATGTAGCCACAAGCATTGATTTTAGCCCAATGTTCAAGGGGTTTTGAACTATCAAGCACAGCTAACTTTTCTCATCGAACTGGTGACCTCCTAACCACATTACTAGGCATGCTCTTTACAGTTATACAAAATTTGTAGTTTATTATAATACACCACCTGCCCCCAAGGATATCACATATGTAGCGAAATGAATTTCATATAGGCCTAAATATCTCTAAAGGTCTCTTTGAACATTATTTAATCCATTAGAATTCAATAGGACGATTAATTTCCTTTCACAATTCCAAAAATTTGTGCAAAAACCTAACTTGTACAATTACGTTCGTAAAATAATTATGACACTTTATATTTTGCAAAAAGACACTTACTTGCCATACTCGTCCTTGTTGAACTTTGGCCTAGGCGAAGGAGACCGGCTGAATCTGCCGCTGAACGGGTTCAACGTCTGCCGCTCAAGATGCTTCAGCGCCTCCTGGTTGAACTTGCTGACTTTCTCAGCCAGACCCATGAACTCCGTCATGTTGTCGAGCACTAACAGCACTGACCGAGTCCACAGCACTACTATAGGCGTTCCCGGTCGGCGTCGTGACGTTAAAATAGACCGCAGAGGCAGCGCCACCTCCGCCTCCACCAGTCATTCATGGCCTACAACAATGTTAAAGATAGAAGGCTTCTAGAAGTGAATGACTCACTGACTCAAAACATTCCTCATCTACGGAAACTTGGGTTAGGTAATGGTTGACGTTGAGTTGGTGAATGAGTTTACCAAGAGTTGTTGCGAATTCTTAAAAGAATGATATTACTAAGATGTCCTTATTTGAACATAAGGATGGTTGCGTAAAGTGTGTTGTTATGCTAGAAAAGAGGAATATACATACTTAAAACTTACTTGGTCAACAGCACTTGGTAACGTAGATTAATGTTCTTCTTAGCTGGACATAAGTAGTATCGAAATCCATAGGGACAGAGTCAAATTGGTATGCATTTGAAAATGGGCTGTAGTAAGTCTGGTGTTTTTTAAATATCGGGACACACTTTTGCAGCCACCAAACTATTACCATTCACTATTGGTTGTAACATTGCAGTCAAAACAATACACTTAGGATGATATGAAAAAGGGCGAAGCAAGGACTTTTGATTAAAATACTTGTCACTTTCCAAAACGACATGATGGTAGACGAGCTTACTTTATACTGTAATGCTATTTCCCTGTATTCAAATCAATTGAATGTAATCACCATTTACTCAACATATGTTCTGTAATATCAAATGTCACTGTGTTTATAACGTTCGGTAACAAAACATAATGATTAGTGTAGTTGTCTTAAAACATTTTAAAAATGACAACAAATAGAAGTCTTCTCAACGAGTTGTGTATTTTCAAGGATGTGTGGAGGATTTACAGATATGGAGTAAGTAAAATATAAACAAGGTTTTAGTTCATAACTAGCTGTGTGGCGTTCTACGAACGGGGATCTTGTAATCAGTTGAAACCTTCATTGGGGGAAAACTTTACAAAAATCGCACAAAATTGTGTTTTTGATAGTTTGTTATTTTATTTCCTAAGTAGCGACACCATACAAAAGACACTCTCGCCAATCCAGTGAATACAGAAAAATGGCTGGAATCTTGATCGGTACATCGGTACTCTAGTTTTCTCGGAGTAGGCCGCGTAAATTGACAATTTGGCGTTACAGACAGAATAGTCCATACTGTATATAGAATAGGTCTTGCATAACTAATGTACTAGCGAATGAGGATAACATTTATTTTGATGAAACAATTTTGTCATACGGGTTTTGAGCACCATCACGTAATGTGTGTTTAAAACTTTATATATAAAAAAACGTCAAAAACCGTTATTCCATGTGAAAAGTTCGAACCAAATATTCATAGAACAGCACATTGTAAGTCTTGCATAACTACTATAAAAAGGCGATAACTTAACAGTGATAAAATTGGAATAATTTACCTCAACATGCAGCTGTCCCATGTCAGGATATCATGCGAGTTTTTCAACAATACTCTTATCAGCTAACAGAAATTGAGATAAGACTCGTTTCGGCTTTCTTAGGCTATGAAACGTAATAACCAAAAACTGCATGATTCTACGCAATGTGCAGACAAAACTGTAATTTTATATATAATATCTCCAACAGTATAATTCATCATTTAAACAATACAACCGAATAACTGTTGGTTGATAATACATTACAGACATTGGAAAGAGTTTGACGAATTAAAGAGGAAAAAATAGAGTTTGAAATTTAATTTCTGTTAATGAAAAATGTGTTAAATTATTTTATTTGTTATGGTATTTTGAGAATCTCACTAAAAATTATCTTCAGTCCATGTTTCGTCATTCGCTTAGTCTGCAGGTTTGCTGCGGCGGGGGTATTCGTTTATTGCTGATTATTGTTTTTGTATATTATTATTTATCAACGTGTTCTTGTTAATTAATTTTAGAACATTATTCATCTTTTTATTTTATCATAAAGCACTATATTTTGTCCCAAGTTATTTAATGTGTTTAATCAATAATTCATGCGATCAGAAAACTTTTCGTTCGTGTCAGGGAGTTAGTCTATGATATTATTATGTGAAAATATTTCAAAGTGGAGATGCCATCGGATTTTAAAATCAAATTAAATAATTAAAATATACCTACTATATGTCATGGAACTCTCAGGAGTTGTTGTCTGTCAACTACACGGAAGACCACTTGTAGGTTGGGGACTCTATAGCCAACCCACAAATCCCTCTTTTTTTCTCGGGCTCTATGACCAGCATACTTCTTATTTTGCTGCTGGCTCTTCTTCCTTCTTCGCTTTCCTACTGAAGAACTCTTCTTCCCTTTTCCCTCCCTTTCCCTTGTTTTTCAGCCGAACCCAATGGTGTCAAGTGATCCTTGCCGAAGAAGTGAATGCCACCGGTCTCCTCAGCAGTAATTCGTGCCGGTTCTCGAGGATGCCAGGCGACCTCCTGGAGTAACTAGCCTTACCCGGGTATGCAAGGCTCTGCCTGGGCTCAATCTTCAGCCTCACTTAGTAGTTAATTGTTGGGAACGTTATGGTTTCCAGAAAACCTAAACCCTGCCAGAACCAAACCTCGATGCGACTCTAGAAGCTACATCACCAACACTTCAAGGGTTATCTCATCCAGAGCAAGATCCATCTCGAAGGATCCCGAAATACCAGAGGAACAACAGGCCCAAATTTGGGTCTTGATGTCTGGACAAGGTTGTCCGTGCACCCTAGAGGTGCAACGGCCACTCCATCCTCGGCAGAAGGACCTTCAAAGGAGGCGTAGGGGTGTAACCCGTAGGTATGATGAGGGTCAAGACACATGTCTTAAAACACCTTCAAACTCTTGATATCACAATGACAAACAGGAGTACCGATTTTGCAACCAGTCCGATGAGACTGAAAAGCACATAATTCTGGATTTCTACAAATTTGGTGCTATGAGAACGGTCCTGTTTGGTCAAAAGCAGCCAGGTGATGAACCAGACGCTAACCAGGACCTGGTCAAGGACAAGGGATATTCTTACCTTGTTAGTGGCAATCGGGGAATGCACAATAAGCTCCAGTAGACGTGCTTGGACCCCGAGTCCACCCCTCAACAATACAATACTAGCAAAGTCGTGGAGAAGATGAGACTCGGATCAGATTCCAGATGCGGAAACACCATCAAACTTTTTATTTGATAGTGACACGAATACTAGAAAAATAGTAGCTTGAGGCGTATGTTTTATCTATGATACTAGACTTTTCTAGTATTCGTGGATAGTCCTGATGAGTGAAAAAAGACAACGTACTTTCATACGTATGAACTCAACCCTAAGAAATTTAGGGAATTTCAAAAACAGTTTCTTGAAGGTCTGTAAAATGAAATGATAATTAGTTGGCGGTGTTGGTAAAACTGTAGAGCATTGCTTTGTCGACGCCCTGCATATTGTTGGTAAGGTAATTTCTCTAATTTTCTAATTAAATATAACTTATATTCGTAAATAAACTTGTACTTCCGAATTTATAAATTTATCTGATGATTATTAACAAAAGTCTCATTACTTTACTAGAGATTTTGGTAGAATTGACACATCTTTGTAGGTCCATAATTGCAAACAAAATGGCCTCTTATTATGAATGAGTAAACCTGTCAGAATTCTGATAAACTTACTGACGTTTATGAAGTTTTTAGCGTTTTACTTCACTCTCACCTAGTTCTAAGGTAGTTAATACTTTTGTTTCTTGGAGTTTTAAACCTTACGTCATAGATCAATGTTTGAAAAAGTCAGGAAGATTATTCATACTATGGCCCAACACTAGGCCTATTCAAGGATTAGGGTAGGAACTCGCCAAATCTTTACCAAGTTTAACTTCTTAGAATTAGCTGTGAAGCTTATCATGCATTGGGGTCTAGCTTCAAAAGTTATCTAAGTGTGTACTGCCTAAAATAAGTTATCAAGTTTCAGGCACGCTAACTTAAACTTTGAACAAGCTTACAGAGCTTGGATCCAGGCATGAGTTAGGCTAACTTATTCCTCATAACTTTGAGTAATTGAGTCTCAGGTATTCCTCAAAAGTTTTCTTGTGTGCTGTGTCTTTCTGTGTCATTTAACAAGTAAATCTAACATTATTTTGGCTAAAAAATGCTTTAGGCTTACCATAAGCTTAATATTCATTTAAGGGACAAACCACTATCTTACAAGATCATAATAGCCTACAACTTATAACTCATTTACAACAGCTTACATTACAGTAAGGCTATATTAGCGGGGAGCAGCCTAAGTTAAGCTATGACTTATTGGGGCTCCGTGCATAAGTTACTTAAACTTAACTTATGTCATGTTGCTTTATTTAACAATAAGTTAAGCGGTTTTAAATATTGGCTTCAAGCATAAGGTGTTGTTTAATGTAGTTAAAAACCACTTAGTTTATCCGTTTTAAATTGTACTTAAGTTAGTTTGAGCTAATCTGTAACTTAAGTACCGATAAGTTAGCCTAACTAAGTTTAATTGGTTACGGCCAAGTAGGCCTAACTTAAGTTAACTTAACTTAGTCTAAAAGCCTTTGTAGCCACCGATAACCACAGCTAACTTAATCAATAGTTGATTAGAGATGTATGAGTCTGTTTACCTTTCTGATACATTTGTCTGGTAACAAATAACTTATAGTAGGCCTATTGATAAATATTCATTCAATCAATTTCAAATTTATAATGTAAATAAAAGATACACCTACATCTTATAACTCTTAAAACATATATTTACGCTTATAAGTTACTGTTACTCATAAGATGGTAAATATACAAAAAAGATGGTAAGTGGTGATTGATTTCGATTAGACACTCCAATCATCATCACACCCAATAGGCGAATCTATTGGCGAATATATTCGCCTATTGGGTCTGATGATGATTGGAGTGTCCAATCGAAATCGATCACCACTTACCATCTTTTTGTATATATTTAAAACCGTCTTGGGAGTAACAGTATAAGCGTAAATATATGTTTTAAGTGTTATAAGACGTATCTTTTATTTACTTTCCGTAAATTTAATAACGCGTACAATGCCGATCAAGAAGTTATTTAAAATTATATAACGTATAATTAATTGGAAATTTAGACTTTTTAAGTAATTAAAGTAATACACAGAGTGAGTCAGTGAAACAGGCTATTTTTTTGCTATTTTTGTTGGTGAGTAGTGGGAAGAAGGGAAAAGTGTTATAAGACGTACATCTTTTATTTACTTTCCGTAAATTTAATAACACGTACAATGCCGATCAAGAAGTTATTTAAATTTATAAGGTATAATTAATTGGAAATTTAGACTTTTTAAGTAATTAAAGTAATACACAGAGTGATACAGTGAAACAGGCTATTTTTTTGCTATTTTTTGTTGGTGAGTAGTGGGAAGAAGGAAAGAGGTCGGGTAAGTTACCCTGCCTTCCCAACCTCTGGAAGTTTAGTTGCCATGCAGCGTTGGACCGGACCACAGCGCTGTTTCGCCGTCAAGGCATTTTATCAAAAGAGTGAAAGTTATGTGCGTACACGGCCTTGCGCATTCATTTCGTCTGCCCCCTCGAGACATGCGTGTCAGGGATGGAAGAAGAGGTGGGAGTACCAGAACTGTGTGGACACCAGAAAACATTTCAATCAGTTAAGCGATTGCCAGAAGTCCCTGTAGGTCTATCCAACGGCTTAGCAAAGCACTTGAACTTTTCGCGCCAACGGTGAGACAAATTTTGCATAAGGGTGAATCTCACGAATTTAATGTAGTTTAATTTAAGTCTCAGCCAATATTATGTACTGTACTAACAAATAAATCATTGCCAATAAAACTGTGTTAAATTACTTCCCTCAATCCCTATTTTCCATTGCATTACCTACTATTTAAGAATAAAAAATATT